AGCTCTGAGCTCAGTTTTTGGTATCTCGTTTTTCACGAATAATGTGATAGTTCATATTGGTGGCGAAGAAAAAAAAAACGAAAAAATCGGCGTATTCAGAGAAATACACGGCTATGAAAAACTAGTAGAATAAGGAGCTGTACGAGAATGTGACGACAACAGTTGCTCGGAAGGGGTTTTTGATTCTGGTTTTGTCTGCTTTTGGTTTTCTACGCTCTGTTTCTAGCCGATAGCGTTTCCTGTGCTATCATTGAGGGTCACAGGTTAATTTCTTGGAGAAATCTGAGAAAGCAATTATCGTGAACTGTGCTTTCAAGATACAGTAGATTTGCTCCATTCTGAACCTGAGCTTGCCCCTGCAGCCTAATCACAGGCACGGTTCACGAAAAAATTGGTCCCTACGACTTCCTCCTAGAATCAGCCAGTGGCCCACGGTGACACCGAGGACGCCGTCGGGACGGAAAACTAAATAGGAATGTCATAATTTCCGCCCTGTAACCAGATTCGTCAACGTCCACGTCTATCGATCGACGGCATGTCAGACGAGTGTCGAGGCGATACAGCTTGCGCTATTCGCACTAGGACCCACACGTTCAGCAAGCAAAAAACTGACCGCCTAGTGGTAAGGGGATGTTTTGCTCATATCATTTTATTCTTTTTGCTGCTGCGGTCATTTTTTTTCAGTTTTCTACATTACGACATGAAAAAGGTGAGTTACTTCTGCTGTTAATCTTGTCTTTGCAAAGTTGTGCAAGTGATTTTGAGAGTATTGACCGAGCATTTCTGCTTATTGTAGTCAGCTATTCGCATCAGGACCCAGATGTACGCAAGACATTCATTGATTAGCGCGTCCAAACGACCCTTCTACTTCATGATCCTGGCCTTATTCTCGTCCATACCCTTTTTAACAACTTTTCTAGTGCTTTTCATCGTTTTGGGAACACCGAGCGCTTTCCTCGCCTCCATCGCACTATTTCCCAAATTCTCTTTCATTTTTCGCTATAACCTGGGTAGCGCGAGATTATCGTGAACCGTCTATTTAGCTCCATACAAACGGAGGTAACTTTATCATTTTTGCTTTACATGGTTGTAGCGCAATCATCCACTTCCCAGCCAACAAGCTTTCAATCGATTTTCCGACGACCAAAAGGTGCTTTCAAGTAAGCAGAATATTTCAAAAGATTAGATTAAAAATTAGAAACAAAACATAATATGACTATGTCTATACAATTATATGGTTATTTAACATAATTGTATAAACGTAACCATATGTTTTATTTCTAAACGTATAATTATATAAGCGTTAATATAACAACATAGTCACATATAATAAAATATGGCAGTACACGAATGAAAGTTATTGCATTAGAATGTTGAAAGTGTGGCCTTGAGTGCCTAAATGTGCAGGCGTTGCTACTTCTCTGGTTCATCGGATGATGCTGAATCAAGGTTTTGTGTCCGTTGCTATCGAATTTGCCAGTTACTTCTATTGCAAGTCGGAATTATGCGAAATGCCGTTCTTCGGGTTTGGTTCAAATTAAGCGGTCGAGACGTCAGCTTAGGCGAACGAAATGGGTCATTCTATAAACTGTTGAGGAATTACATCTTCAATACCGAAGTGTCAGGATGTAAACTCTGCTTTCTATCTAAAATTATTTGTGTTTCCTTGTTTTTTTTTTGACATTTTTGACTCTTGAGCTATTTGCTGGATTTGTATTTTGGAAAATACTCTTGATTATTTCTTTTTTACAGCTACCTACTATTGGTGATGACTCTAATGAGCACACATCGACAGTCAACTAGTCAGCAAAGATTTTTGATCATCTCTGTCAAAACGTACGATAGCCCACCAGTAAAAAAGGGCTGAGGACCAGTGAACACGTTCTCTACGAGATAACAAGAGACATGTTCCACAGGTAATGGCGAGCTGTTCTTACAGTAACGAAAGTTCACTAATAGCGGATTAATCTAATTCTACATTAATAAATACAAAGTTTTTGTTCTGCGAAAATAGGCAGTTTATATTCGAGCCTAAGTACAAAATCATCACTTTGTTCAGGGCCCGCTTACACGTTTTTGTTTCATTGCTAGCTGATCACTCCTTTCATTTACCATAGCATAGTTTAGAAATTGTTACTCTTTTTTTTTAATTAGATTACGATTCATTGATGGCATTCTCTATCATCTTACCCATCACAAGATTACTATCATTCATAGTACCTCTTGTCCCGCAGATCGTTGACGTGCTCTAGCTGATCCAGGCCATTTTTTTCACCCAGAGAAGCAAGGCTCACCATTTCTTTCGTTTAGAACTTCCTTGAAGAGAACTCGTCATCAGTATGGCGACTATCCTGTTGTTTAGGGCTCCGAGTGATTCAGACAGTAACCCGCCCTCCTTGGTCCGAGCTTTGGGCTCAGGATCCTTTTTGCACTTGGGTAGCACGTGAAACTTCGAGCATCGTCCCTCCCTTAGAGCGTTGAACTGTGATGAAGGTGTGTTCATGTTACTTGGTAGAGCCCAAGCATGATGTGCAAGACAGAGCAGGGAGGGGATCAGGAACGAAAAATTGGCACGTGGCAGGATGTTCTTTGCCCTCCACACTATTCACTCGATGTTTCCAAACGCTTTCTACGTCTTACAAGTCCTTCTATTGAGCCCTCACCTGATTAGAGCGCATTGTACGTAGCTCTGTGAGAATAATGCCCAGAGGTTTTTATATGCCTAATTCATTTCTACTCCGTCATTCATCCGTGTCCGGTGCTGCTTAAAATAAACTTACGTATCTACTGGTGCTCCTCGATAGTCTACAAGAAGACTCTACAACAACTGGCGGCCACCAACAACATTTGGCGATCAGTGGACTTCAACCGAGAAGGACCACTCCGGAAGCTTCGACGCAGACAACGAGAACAATCAGTGCAACAGCAATCGAGCCGACGGGGAGGTTAGTCACTCATTGAAATGGACGTGAAAAGTTTGTAGGTCATCTAGATGCCCAAGCCAGAATGCAGCAAGAGATGTTCACTGAACTCGTCAACCACATGGATCGACTGGTGTCTGGTTCACGTTCGACCGCTCCAGCGTCTCAGACAACGCAGCCGAGTTCGCGATGAACTCGCTGTCAACGCGTCTACCTGAATTCGTGTACGATCCCGACAATGGTTGTACCTTCGAGGTCTGGTACAATCGCTATGAAGGCGTCATATCCAAGGACGGCGGTGCCTTGGATGGGCTGCAAAAGCTCGACGCCATCACATACGCTCGCTTCACAAGCTGCATTCTACCGAAAAGAGCTTGTGAACTGTCGTTGTCAGATACCGTAGCAACGCTGAAGGAACTTTTCGGACATAACACGTCGGTTTTCTCGCGCTACTTAATCTGAAGACTCAACGCAACGGTGAGAATCTTCGCGTCTATACTGGACTTGTCAACCAGCGACACGCGATGGCCGAATTCAGCGACGTTAACCCAGAACAGATGAAATGTTTCGTGTGGATATGCGGACTCGCCGGAAGATGCTGATATCCGAGNCAGATACCGTAGCAACGCTGAAGGAACTTGTCGGACATAACACGTCGGTTTTCTCGCGCTACTTAACCTGAAGACTCAACGCAACGGTGAGAATCTTCGCGTCTATACTGGACTTGTCAACCAGCGACACGCGATGGCCAAATTAAGCGACGCTAACCCAGAACAGATGAAATGTCTCGTGTGGATATGCGGACTCGCCCCTGCGGAAGATGCTGATATCCGAGCCCGCCCTTGGAGGGAAGGTAATCCACAAACCACGTTGAAGGAATTGGCTGCAGAAATCCAGCAGTTTCTCAACATTCGTCAGGATGGCACTCTTCCCAAGCGGTCTGCTTCATCACACATCAACGCCGTGGATTCTCAGAACCGAAAACACGACCCACCATCACCATGTTTTCGCTGTGGAGCAAATCACTGGACAAGGGTCTGTTCGTTTCGTGACAAAAACTGCCACGACTGCGGAAATTCCGGACACAAGCGAGGATTCTGCAAGAGCTTTACGACCAGGAGGAAGAAGAAACCTAAACGGAAGCGGAAAACAGCCTACGACGTCGTCGTTGCCTCAACCCATGCCGGCAACACCTCCATATCTCTCATCTACCGCCCAGTGCAAATAACTGGGAAGACAATACGTATGCGGCTTGACACCGGTGCCGATGTCACTCTACTGAGCAACGCGGACTGGATTGCTATGAGCCGTCCAACGTTACGACCCCCTCGAAATACACTGAGGTCTGCTAACGACAAGCCGATCAACTTCGAGGATGCTACGAGTGCGTGTTACGTTGCCGACACACCTTCTTTACTAGGTCTCGACTGGATCATCCAGCATGAGCCTCTGTTTCGTCGCCTAACCGAGGGCTCTATCTGTATTGTATCCTCTTCGACGCTCAATGCATTGAACTCTTCCATCACTACGGGACTATGCGCTCGAGAAGAAGTTTTCTACCGTTTTCACGCCTGGAATAGGACATTGCATCAAGTCGAAGGCCAAACTCACTCTGAGACCCGCGTACCTGCAACTGGGAGTGGACGACGATTCAAAACAGCTACTGACGATCAAAACGCACCTAGGACTCTTTCGTTTCAATAATACCATTTGGAGTGAAGCCTGCTCCCGGCATCTTCCACCAATGTATCGACGCTCTCATTGCCGGATTAGATGGAACTGCCGCCTACCTCGACGACATACTGGTCACTGGCAGGACCATTGACGAACACAATATTCAACTAGACGCTGTGCTCCGGCTAATCCAGCACTACGGATTCCGTGTTCGTCTCGAGAAATGCACTTTTCTACAGACAGAGATCAATTACCTTGGCTTCGTCATCAACGCACAAGGACGCCCTGACCCCGACAAGGTCGAAGCCATACAAAAGATACCAGCTCCAAAAGACGTGAGTCAGTTACGCGCTGCCTCGGTCTCATCAATTTCTACGGAACCTTCGTCAAAGATCTACACAATCTACGCGTTCCATTAGACTCCCTTACAAAGAAGGATGCTGTCTACACGAGGACACCGGAGTGCCAATTTTCCTTCGACAAGATAAAGGCAACACTCAGCTCGGATCTGTTGCTGATTCACTTCGATCCAAATCTTCCGATCATTGTAGCCGCCGACGCTTCTATCTACGGAATTGGAGCAACACTACAACACCTTTCATGGTGATTTCATCGCATTTGATGACCTTTTTTGATGTTAAGCAAGAATACTTTCCCTACATAGGACATCCAATAGCAATTCAACTTCCCTTGCACTTGTTCACTTTATATTCACAGTAGAACAACTTCCACCACATTATAAACACATGCAATAGGCAGCACAAGGTACTTTAGACAGAGGGAATTTCAAAAGAGAAGAACGAACAAAAAAATGACACACATACACTGCATGCAGGCAGCCTACTGCAGCCAACTGTATGCAATGGCGTGCACACCTAAACAGCGCTTTCCATGCCACTTTTGTCGTAGCAATCTCGTCCAACTTTTACGACTTTTCCGGAGCCGCTTTTCACCCTTTCTTGTTGTATGCACTTCGCGGGACTACCATTTCAACCAGAATTAGTATATACCCGAAATTATTGTAAATTGTGCTTTCAAGCAGTCAACGGCATGGCATGAACAAACCATAAGCGCTAATACTAACAGCACAGATTTGAAACATAAGGCAAGTGACAGCGACCTGTAAATTGAGTCAGGAGTGAACAACCAAATGATGAAATTACAGGTTACTACGCATAAAGGATGCTTCCGAACAAATTCCCAAATAGGAAGAAGAAGTGAACATCCAGCAGCTTTATGAGGCTCCATCATAACGAGCTTTACGAGGATATCTATCGCCGTCAGCTACTTCCACGAATGTAAGACGGTGACTTCATGATCTCCAAAGGACGTACATCAGGAACATTAGTGTGGCTGTGCCTAGAGCCGCTGCACTCGATTGCACCCCCTCTAAAACCACGGAAAGCTCCCGATCTAGTTGCAGCGATGAAAAGGCAAGGCATAACGGTCAAAGTGTGGGTGATGGCGAAGAGTAACCCAACTACACTGTCTACTCTCTTCGAGGCTAGAGATTGCTGGATGTACATATGCCTCAGGAAGATAAGGGGGATAAAATCATTGGCATTAAAGGATTTCACCTTCGGGTGCGCCCCACCTTGCCTTTTCATCCATAGCGGTGTTTCGGGTAGCCTATGGCGTATGGCCTATGGGATAAGTTGTAGTTACCAGCCAATGTCCAGGTCAGTGATTTTATCCACCCAGACGAGCCTGGCACCGAGCAGCCGATACCAGAGAGATATCAGGCTTCACTGTTTAGGCAAGGATCGTTCCAGAAATCCGGCACTCGATTTCCAAACCATCTGTTGGTGATAGTGCAAAATTTATCAATACACCTCATTCGCTCCACTGTGGATATAGAGTGGATACAGTGCAAAGAAATTGAGCATCCATCTCGTTAGTGTTCATCTCATACGAACGGTCACCTGATATCACCATCTTACTCCATTGCGAGAATCGTTCAGCGAATTTGGAAGGCAAGTTTGAGATCAGCACCCGAAAATGCGTCTACAAGTGAAGGTCTTATTTTGAAGTCTACTCCGATTCGACACCCTTCTTAGAAGCTTGACGATCTTTCCAAAAGCCTTGTAGAGTTCAGTGAGCCTTCTTACCACCTGTTCAATGTAATAGGCATAACATCGTTTACAAAAGGAATATTCTAACACCTAGCGACATATACTTCCTGTCTCCCCATTCTAAACCATCTAAGACGTTCCCTAGAACGGCGCAGAAAAGACTGATTCATCAGAATTCGGAATCATGAAGCTGCCGATGACCACTCTTGCCTCATCGGTATCAGGAGCATGCCTCAAATCCGTGAACGTAATATTATACAACGGCATCATGCATTCTCGCGTCACGTCACTGAAATTGTATCCGTATGGCACTCAACCTTCTCAGAACACTGCTCGCTGCATCATTGTTTTCAATTCAACGTTCTGCCCATCCTGTTGGGACGACGCACGTAATTAAGATTTACTATTTATTTCTTTACTCATACACTCACAGAAACCATCTAAGACGTTCCCTAGAACGGCGCAGAAAAGACTGATTCATCAGAATTCGGAATCATGAAGCTGCCGATGACCACTCTTGCCTCATCGGTATCAGGAGCATGCCTCAAATCCGTGAACGTAATATTATACAACGGCATCATGCATTCTCGCGTCACGTCACTGAAATTGTATCTGTGTGGCACTCAACCTTCTCAGAACACTGCTCGCTGCATCATTGTTTTCAATTCAACGTTCTGCCCATCCTGTTGGGACGACGCATGTAAGAAAAATTTACTATTTATGTCTTTACTTATACACTCACAGAGTACACTCTGAAAGGAAAATCAGGGCGTAAGATAATAGCAAGGTCATAACAGACTGAATAGACCAAGTCAAATAATATCAGTCCGCTTGATCACACGAGGTATGAGAAACAAAGAATAGAAGAGATGAAATGGATGTGGTCCTGTTGCAGTGCAACGCTGGCAACTAACACCTCATTATCAAACAAGTCAGTATCCACACCACTTGGCCATGATGCCTCATTCCAATAGGAGTCATAGGACAGAGTCGGCACTTCGACACACGGGTATGCCGACTTCTCACGTGGAACCTGCACGTCGGAAACTGGCAATACAAACCGAAGACTGGAGTTAGATAGTAGAGGCAGCACCGAACAAGGCACGCATCAAAGTAATCAAGCCTACATGGAATGAAGCAGCGGGCTGATATTACGTACTTTAGCTGAAGATCCAGCAACTAAGAAAGGAAAAAACGAACAAAAAGGTAAAAACCATAACAACAAAACAACATACAGCACCCTATGCGACAGCTAAAAACTGTTTAGAAAAAAACAAAACAGTGTAAGTATAGACAAACATCGTTAACTCAACAAAACCGACTCATCAACAACATGCACAAGAAAAGCCACCGAACACGGGATTTGCAGTCATCCATCTAATAAAAGTCAGCCCACACCACAACAAGCTGACGAGTTTGACATTACGAAGTGGAAAAATAGAAAGCCTGTAGAAAGCCCAAATAACTCTGTCAAATCGATACTTCTCAATTTTCTTGTGAGGGACTCACC